GTCTTAACAGTCACATTCAGTATTTTTTTCATGCAGGATGGAATAATCTCTCCTGTGGATCTAGACCTTGTGATGTCTGATGGTTTGGGGATGCGATATGCTTTTATGGGGCCACTGGAAACGATGCATCTTAATGCGGAAGGTATGTAATTATTACCAGTAGGATGTAAATATTGGAATTTCGAAGGCAGATATAAATATTATAACTGTTTAAGGAATATCAGTTTAGCAGTACCTTTTGTCTGTTAATATTGAACAAAACCTATCTACTGTATTTTTTTACACTAGTATCCTCAGTATTTGCCTGTTTCTGGGGATTTCTGTTATACAAATCCTTTTGCTGAATGAGAGTAGCTTGTAATAAGAAATACTTCTGTGACGGACTGCACTTTTAAAAGCTTAAAAGTGCTGTACAAACAGCTTAAAGACTGTGAAGGGTTAATTCTTTACAGAAACAGAGAACCTTGAGTGACAGGCTTCTCCAAGCAATCTGATTGGTTAGCATTAGCTAAGCAGAGAGAGACTTTACAGCTGAATGCTGAGGAGGAGAATTCATTTGGAATTCAGCCCTGCTTGAGAACAGTTTAACACAGACAGGAGAATTGGGGAAAGTTGGCAAGAATGAGTGGGTAGTTAGACAGAGACTCCCATTAGGGCCAAGGAAAGTGGATACATCTTCCAGAGAGAGAAGGAATTTCCCTGCCCAGTCTAAACAGGGTGAAAACTCTGAAGACTGCAGAGATCCCTGGTCTGGTGTGGTTAGAAACTGCCTTTAGAGACCTTAAGTGTCAGATAAAAACTCAAGATGAGTACTGGTGTTTCAAGAGAAGCGAGTTGGGTACTGGAATGAGTGCACTAGCCTTCTGAAAATCAAAAGAGTCAGAGAATAGTCAAAGAAAGTGTACTAGAGTATTTGGAAAGACTATGGAACAAAAGCCTCTCAACATAAAGATCTTAAGTAACTGTGAATAGCTTAAGAAACTCTCATTAGCCTGAAATATAAGAACTAAAGTCTGTGCATGTACTGGTTTTACCTCAGCATTATCTATATTGAGTTACCTCAGAACTTTTACCCCTGATTTCACCTGACCTTTCCCCTCTATGCTGAATAAAATACTTTGTTAATTTGGAATATAAAAACATCGTGAGTGCCATTTAAGTTAAAGGGGGCTCCCAATCCTTCCCTCAGGTTCCTGGGCCAAAATATTATACTGTGACAGGGTGGGACAGCCAAAATTCTTCAGGAAAGAAGAAAACAAGACAACTAGGGTGGCTCACTCACAAAAGAGAAAGAAAAACAGGGAAAATCTTACCTCTGAGGGAGGGAAGTGGGCAGAGCCATTATAACTTTATTTTAAA